ACCTTTTATTAGGAACAATATAAATACTCAAACAAAATGTACACTATTACTTAGTTAAACTATTTTTCTGCTTTTGTTGAACTGTCATGTGTCACCTTCTAAGAATATTAAGTTTGCCGCTAAGATTCGAATCGCAACAATCAATCATGAAGAAAAAACGAGGACAGTCTTTGCCATTGTCTGAATTGTTGATGAAACTTTTCTAAGCGATTAAGTCACTTGACTAGAGAATATTTATTCATTAGAAAATATTGGATGATTGAAAGATCATTAATGGAGTTTTGTTTTTATTAAAAGAGCTCGTAAATTGCTTTTTTTTTACTGTTACGAAATCTTTTTATTTAGGTTGGTGTCCACCGGAAGATGCTGAGTCATCATCAATGTTTATTCAAGGAAGTCTTAACTTTACAATATTTATAAAAACTTTTATTGAATTTCCTTTATTTGGAGTTAAAAACAAAAATATGGTTGATAATTTGAAGCAATGCGTTTTTGATCCAATTCATAATAAAGATTGTCCAGTATTCACTATTGATTATATGCTAAATCAAGCTGAAAATGACAGTACTGAGCGTGATTTAATGTTACGCTATGGTGGAGTTATAAATATTAAAATTCATTGGGACTGTGATTTGGATCGAAGTATTAAATTATGTAAACCTGAATACACATTTACTCGTCTTGATGTACCGTTTCATGAAAAACCATTTTCAGCTGGTTATAATTTTCGTTATACTTCTACTTGGAAACAAAATGAAGAACATTTTCGTATCTTAACAAAGGCTTATGGACTTCGTTTTATAATTACTATTAGTGGCAACGCTGGAAAATTTAGCTTTATTACGTTAACTTTAAATATTGGTTCATTAATTGGAATATTTGGTATAGCAACGTTTGTTTCGGATATTATTGTATTTCATGTATCAAAACGGGCAGGCGTTTATCGTAGCTATGTCTTTGAAAAAGTTCAATTGAAAACAAGTCTGGATGGGATGAAAGACCATTCAAAACTTCGTGTTGAAAAAAATGAGGATCAATTGTTAAATGACACATCAAATATGGATAAATAAATATAATATGGAACACTTAATAATGATGCATGATCTACAGAAAGAAACATTGACTATAGTTTTGCTTGAGAGTGTGGGTGTGGGCGTGAGTGTGCAGTGTAGTTTTGTGGTGTGCCTGCGCATATAAATCAAATGAAGATATTCACACTCACACATCCGCACTCATATCGATACGTATAGAGTAGTGTATAATATTGTGTGTAGCAAATGAGTAATGCGTTATTATTATTCGCAGTACAGAACGTACCGTATGGGTGCAGGCACTGTAGTTTCTGCGTGACATTCTTATCATCTGTTGTATTTTTTTTATGAGCGTGGGTGTGGATATAACTGTCAGTCTTCTTTAAACACAGTCGAAATTCACACCCCACACCCATGCTCCACCCAGAACCAGACTCACATTCCAACCCACAGTGAGCAGTAAGCAAAGGTCAAAAGCAAAAAAATATTTTCAGTATCTTTGATGAAACTTTTTTGATTAAAAGGTTTTTAATAAGAAGCAAATATGCGTTTTGTAGCGCGCTTAATGTGCACTCATATGAAATACTATTCAAGTTTTCTACACGTAATGTTACTGGGGAAATTAGAGCTCAAGAAAAAAATTTTCATCGTCTGACTGTTTACTGTGCATCTGACACACACGCTCACACGCATACCGTACACTCTAAAAAATTTCCGTATCCTAGGAAACCGAAAGAGGTTCGGAAACCCAATCGGAAACCCTTTTCCGTTTCCGAGAGGGTTTCCGAAGATTGAAAGCGTTTCTGAAAATACCCTTTGGGTTTCCGAACGTTCGGGAACCGAAGGGTTTCCGACAATACTCAATTGAACACTCTAAAAGTATTCTAGAATACCTTTTTCTTGCTTTCGAAAACTCAATAGGTTTCTCAAGAATCGGAAAGGTATTGTCCAAAACCCATATTACCAGTAATGCTGGATTGGTAGCCGAAAGGGTATGCGAAAATACCTTTTCATTTCCTAAATGGTTTCCGAAAATACCCAGTGTGAAAAATGGTATCATAGGATACTGAGATGGGTTTGCGAAAATACCCACTCTGAAAAAGGATATCATAGAATACCGAGATGGGTTTGCGAAAATACCCAATCTTAAAATAGAATCATGGAAAATCGAAATAGGTTTCCGAATTTTGCTATAATACTTAAAAGACTTCCTTAGGATTTCAACTTTTCTTACACCTTTATCGATTTTGTGATTGACATCTCAAAAACTTCGCAAAAGGATAGATGTGGATTTGAACCTTATTTTTCCATATTCTTTCTCATGCTCAGCTTTAAACATTTTTATGAAACAGCAAAACGCCGATCTAATTAGTAATTTCATATTGAATTATTCAAAATTGTTCCTGTGTGAACAGTTCCACGAAATGCGAAGCCAGATCATGCTTCAGAAATAATGAAATGTTATTTGTGCATTTTACTGTTGATCTTATTCTTCAGAATATAAAAGAGAATACAATATTAATAAATCGGCAACAAAATAAATAAATAGGACAATTACCATACGTCTTCTTTCTTCCTTTTTTGGTTGGGTTTCACTAAAGTAAGAATTAAATTGTAGCTATCGTGGATGTCAAAAATTACAGGAGGGACGAACTGCAGAAGTTTATAGCTTTAAGCGAGAATTAAAGTTGGTTTATTTCTAAAGATTAGAGGCTTTCAAATCAAACGGAAAACTGCAGCTTAAGTCCACATGTTAACAAATTAATGTCATTTTTAAGGCATATGAACAATATGTTTTCATATAACTTTCACAAGAACATAAATCATGGATCTGATACTGTTGTCTCGTCTTCAATCACCTTCTAGCTTTGTTCTGTAGTCGAATAAAAACAAGGGTTCAATCTGTAAAGTACATATGAATACAATTTCTCTTATGTTTAATTATGAGTCGCTTTGACTTCAGTAGGTTGTATCGTACTAATTTTGCGATTGGTCGAGAGCTAACCAACAGACGAAGTAAATAAGGCAAAGAATGATTATTTGATATTTTCTAATATTAATAAAATGTTATAATGAAAAAACACTGATTTCTCAATATACACAAGATCTTTAATCATGCTACAATCTTGTGTATAATTTCTCCTTTAGAGAATATTTTTTAGAATCTTCAATAAAATTTTACGTTTTGGGAGGGAGTCGGAATCACTTATATTTACATTGCATTCAGTACAGACTTTGCTCAAGAACAACTTTTATTTTTACTGTCAGTATAAGAAAAAATTAGCTACAGATTGACCATTTAAGCGTGCTTTTAAGGCCTCCCCCCCACTCAAAAAAAGTCAAATTTCGTCAAATTTTTCGAAATTGAGATAACAGCATGGGAAGATAGCCCGTGATCTGCTCTTTCATAGCTGATAAAAAGTTTTCCTCGATGCCTCCTTTTTGTCCAAAATTTTCGAAGATTTTCGTNGTCAAATTCGATGCGAAAACTTTGTGAATATCAATTAACCAGATATTGGTTATTTCCAAAAAAAAAACGATTGACTGTTTCTGTAATTGATTACGACACATTTTTTTTTTGTTGACCTTAATTACAGTTTAGTGAAACTTGTTTCTCTGTCGATCTAGTTAGTAAAGTTATACTAAGATCAACTGACTACATTGAAAAGTAAGAATTCTATCAATGCATATCAACATGCTTCTAAACAATACTACTGATTGATAATTTAATTGACTAAGTAGTTCATTATCTATCATCAACTGTATTCTTAGCTGTAATGTACCATCTTAGTTGCTCAATCAAAATGGTAACTGATTTTTTATTTTATTGTTGTTTTTAGTATCTCGAATTAGGGAAACAAACGGCTTTTCAAAAGTTTACTTTTTTGGAATAGCCATTTATAAGCAAAAATAATTTTGTCTGAAGGATCAGAGAAGACATTTCTCTTGTTTACTTTTGAAATTTTATTTTTACTTTAGATACAAATAAGACATGCCCTGTTGAACAAATTACTGAAAATATGTGAAAGTATTATAAATTTCATATTAAAAAAACCATTCATCATTTAAGAAAAAAGCTCAGTTGCTATGTATTTTCGTTATAGGGTGCTTATTAATAAAAATAGTGCAAAAAACAAAAATCGCTTGAGAAATTAATTGCCTATATTCATCTCAAGGCGTCTATAACATAAAATCAACAAAGCACCTGAAATAAGACGCTCCCGACAAAGTAACGAGAAGCTCCACATTGAATTTTGATAAAGACACAATTCTCTAAATGAATATACCGTTTGCATTGTCAATAATGAATGTCATCATAAAATATTTCGTAGCTATCAGTTTTTGTTTTTGTGAAATACAGTTCAGAAGGAGTTTTGAAGTATTTCAGGTAGAAATTTAAACTATTACATTCTTTCCTTTATTTCATCCATCCAATGACCGTGACAGACAATCTCAACAGACTAATAGACTCTATATCACTAAGATCTTGCGACAGTGTATCAACTGCTGCACTATTGCAGCTATTCAACACTCTGAAAAATAAAAATAATGAAGAAATATGCTCCACAATCGCTGGAGAAAAGTCACTTTCATGAAATAAGCGAAAACAGTTACATCGTGTTTTACATTTTAATTTCACTAGAATTGCACTAACAAATTTCTTTTACATACAAGATTATTACAATAAAATGATGTTCATCTATCGTTTTTTTATCACATTAATAGCTACCCTCTTTTTAATACACTTAGAATATTACATACTTCGTTTGGACGCTCATATCTCTGTCCACATCAATACCAACATGTATCTTATATGAATTTTATTATTGCAAGAGAAACAGCAGAGATATTATGAGAAATCATATAAATGATATATTCAGTATATAGGATTGTGTATCCTGTAAAAATTATTGAACATAATTATTATTGTTATTTTAGAATAAAAAAAAAACATTTTATTGAAAAAATATGATTTCCGATTTATCGACGAAAGATGGCCTTCCTTTTGGTGAACATATAAAATACACTTTTATGAGTTATTTCACCGAATATAAAACACCAAAATTTGTATTAATACATAGCGTACAATTTGCTGTTTTACTTCGCATTATCCAAATAATTATTATCACATATTCTGCATTATATTTGCTTGTATACCAAAAAGGTTATCAAAAACATGATACAACAGTGATATCAGTATCCACACTTAAAGTCAAAGGTGTCGGTCAAGTTGAGATGCCACAACAGAAGACTATTATTATGGATGTCGCAGGTATGATGAGAAATCAAGAATCTTATTGATAGGCGAATCACTTGTTATATTTTTAATAGATTATGTTATTCCACCATCAGAAAACAATGCTATATTTGTCATGACCAATTTTGTTCAAACTAATCAAAGACGATCGATATGTTCTGAAAGTATAAAATTGGAACAAGCAAGGTGTATAAATGACAGCATTTGTTCAAATCAACCATTTATACCAACCATGAATGGACGGTGGACAGGTCGATGTTTATTTGCACCAGAGAAAAATATCATCAATCAGACAAGAACTTTCATAAAAAGTTCAAAGGGTGTATGTGAATATGCAGGTAGACTTTTTGTGTAGATAGCAGAATTTAAAAAGAATTCTTTTTTCATGAATAACAGAAGATGCTATTGAAAAAACAAAAAATAAGTGAAAACTTGTTATCACAATTCCAACTAGAGTGAAATGTGTAAAACCATGTAACTGTTGTTGCTTAACACACAGAACTTGTTTTACTCTAGTCATTTTCAGATACATTTTTGTTTACTTATCCTTCTACTTAATTTTCTGAAGGTACAATAAAAGAAATTCGCTTTTATATCAACAATAAGAGCTTATTAATATGCGTTCTTTGATCATTGTATAAACTACGATTGTCGGAATCTGTCATAGTGAAAGAAACAAAATATTCCGATGAAGTTCGTAGTGAAGTCTCGCGACGTTATTAGTGTGCGATCTTTAAATGCTCTCTGGCATTATCTTTATTGTAAGAGATACAAATTTCTATGCTGCATAGTCGAAAACTCAAAGAAAAAATGTTTGAAAGTTATAGACGTGGACAGTAATTTCAATCAGCCTCCAACTTCATCACATTAACCTTACAGTAGACTTCTTATTACTATAAATGATTGAAACAATCTGTAGTTCTAAGCACTGAGTTTTACTGACAATAGATACTAAGTAGTACAACTATTCATTGATATATGCTCTATTTGTAATGATTGATAAAGTAAATTTTGTTCAATTTAGGAAGTCTACGAAGTTTTTGCATCGAGAAATAACATCTGAAAAATTTCATGACGCTTTCTGATCGTCTTACTTTTAAATAATTATATAATTAACTGAATATTAATTTGAAGAATCAAAAATATTGTGACGTCGACCTTTTATTAGGAACAATATAAATACCCAAATAAAATGTACACAATTACTTAGTTAAACTCTTTTTTTGCTTTTATTGAACTGTCATGTATCACGTTCTAAGAATATTAAGTTTGTTGCTATGATTCGAATCGCAACAATTAATCATGAAAAAAAAAAGCGAGAACAGTCTTTCCTATTGCCTGAATTATTGACGAAACTTTTCTAAGCGATTAAGTCACTTGACTAGAGAATATTTATTCATTAGAAAGTATTGAATGATTGAAAGATCATTAATGGAGTTTTGTTTTTACTAAAAGACCTCGTAAATTGCTTTTTTTACTGTTACAAAATCTTTTTGTTTAGGTTGGTGTCCACCCGAAGATGCTGATTCATCGGCAATGCTTGTTCAAGGAATTCTTAACTTTACAGTATTTATAAAAACTTTTATTGAATTTCCCTTATTTGGAGTTAAAAACAAAAATATGGTTGATAATTTGAAGCCATGTGTTTTTGATCCAATTCATAATAAAGATTGTCCAATATTTACTATTGATTATATGCTAAATCAAGCTGAAAATGACAGTACTGAACGTGATCTAATGTTACGTTATGGTGGAGTTATAAATATTAAAATTCATTGGAACTGTGATTTGGATCGAAGTATTAAATTATGTAAACCGGAATACACATTTACTCGTCTTGATGTACCGTTTCGTGAAAAATCATTTTCACTTGGTTATAATTTTCGTTATACTTCTAATTGGAAACAAAATGAAGAACATTTTCGTACCTTAACAAAGGCCTATGGTCTTCGTTTCATAATTACTATTAGTGGCAACGCAGGAAAATTTAACTTTATTACGTTAACTTTAAATATTGGTTCATTAATTGGAATATTTGGTATAGCGACATTTGTTTCCGATATTATTGTATTTCATGCATCAAAACGGGCAGGTGTTTATCGTAACTACGTCTTTGAAAAAGTTCAATTGAAAACACTTCTCGATGGGGCGAAAGACCAATCAAAACTTCATGTTGAAAAAAATGAGAATCAATTGTTAAATGACGCATCAAATACGGATATATAAATATAATATAGAACATTTAATAATAATGCATGATCTACAGAAAGAAACAGTGACTATAGTTTTGCTTGAGAGTGTGGATGTGGATGTGGGCGGGTGTGAATGTACAGTGTAGCTTTGTTATGTGCTTGCGCAGATGAATCAAACGAAGATATTTCACACTGACACATCCGCACTCATATCGATACGTATAGAGTAGTGTATAATCTTGTGTGTAACAAATGAGTAAAGCGTTATTATTATTCGCAGTACAGAACATACCGTATCGATGCATGCACTGTAGTTTCTGTGTGATATTCTGATCATCTATTGTATTTTTTTATGGGCGTGGGTGTAGGTATAGCTGTCAGTCTTCTTTAAACACAGTCGAAATCCACACTCACACCTAAAGCCAGAGCGGTAGCCACACCCCATACCCATACCTCACCCAGAACCAGACTCACATCCCAACCCACATTGAGCAGTAAGCAAAGGTCAAGAGGAAAAAAATATTTTCAGTATCTTTGATGAAACTGTTTTTTGATTAAAGGGTTTTTAATAAAAACTAAATATGCATTTTGTAGCGCGCTTAATGCGCTCTCATATTAGATACTATTCAAGTCTTTTACACGTAATGTTACTAGGAAAATTAGAGCTCACGAAAAAAATTTTCGTCGTCTGGCTGTCCACTGTGTATCCCATACCCTAGTTCTTCGCATGCGCTATTTTTATTGAATTACGACCATTTTGCTGTATTTTCTGTCTCAGTCAAGACTTACATACAAACATACAGTTATAAAGCTATGCCTGCCTATAGAGAGATCTTATGGTCAGTGGAATATCGTGAAAATTTCAGTTCAAAACTATCTCGTGAGTTGGTTACCATGTGAGTCGGTAGGATATGGTTGTAGATGTCGATGTCAATATGAAGAAGAAAACACTCGCATTCGCACCAAAGATCTTCAATAATTCAGTTCAGCTTTCATATTTGATACTACTAGTAACCTATTTCTTTGCGTTAATATAACAACAACAAACAAAAAACTTCTTTTTGTTCATAGAGTGAAAATATCAAAACCAAATATAGAACGTTGAATTAAAACAATCAGCATAAAATCGAGATTTAACAAATTTCATATCTGTATTTTGATTGAGCCAATGTTGAACATCGTTATCATCCATAATAAAATTTGATTTGTGATTGAAGTTAGTCGAAAAATTTATTAATTGAGGCCAAAAACGACGATTTCCATTGATATTGTCATCAACACTAAACAATGTCTGAAAACAACGAATATTTGAAGTTTTTTCGAGTGGAAATAATAATTTCAAATATTTAACATTAGGATATTGATTAGCAAGAATTTCAATTTCTCCTTCATTACTTAAACAACATTCAACAGTAAGATGACTAATTGAATATTGGACTATCGAACTTATTGAAGTAATAGCTAAAACAAATTAATTTAAATTGGTTTGTTTTTGGTACGTTATATTTGATAAAAAAGAATCTTACGAGATTGTTTTGTGAGAATCAGTTTAGAAATACGTGACGGTAATTTTATATCAATAAATAAACAAGTTGTTATTTGATTAACTCGACGAAAATGTTTCTTCAATTGGTTTAATTGATTATGTTTTGTAATCAATACATGAGTCATATATTTAGTTTGTTTTACATTTGATGTAACTGATGTGTTATATCCATTTCTGACAATAGGGAGTTGTCGTTTATCATTTTTATTTGATGGCCATGGTAATGAAAATATATGAACCCATTGTACATTTCCATTTTCATAGAAAACAATATTCATTGGCCATTGAATAAAATCTTCAATTAATTTTGAATCAGTAATTCTATGCGTCATTGTATAATCAAAATGGCAGAGATGTGGTAAATGTTCATTTAATATGGATTCTAACTTAGGACCTTGACAGAATATTAGATCACGTGTATCACGAATACTTAATGTTAATTTAATCAAAGCAGGCATATAATTAAGAATAGATTTAATATCATTAATAAAAAATTCAGTATGATTTTCTAACAATGTAAATTCAGTTAACCGAAAATACGGTAGTGTATTTTTAGGACGAACACAAGCTACAAAATAAAAACAATACACAATTAGAACGATCGATTGAATAACTAGGTGGACATGAATGAAAGTTCACTTTGCCAAGGGTTAAATATTGAGATAAATACATCTATAGTTGGCCTATCTTACCATAAAATCAGATTTTCAGAAATCAAGGCAAATGCTGGAAATATTGATTGCAAAAACTATTTTCATAAAATCGGTAATTGGATAAAAATCATTTCTATCGCCAATTTATCAAATTATTTTAAAATGCAAAAATATCTAAAGCAAATAATCGTCTCATGAGTGCCATTGTGTGAAAAAAATATTTATTCCGATAGAGTCAGGAATGGAACAAAATCAAGCAATGATTACAAAGTCGCAAAATCAATCATACTGCCTTTTGTAAACGCTCAACACAATTTAAGTTCAATTTTTCTCACTTCCCCTAATTATTGTGCAATATGTGATTTGTTGTTGGTCTTGGCACTGAGTCGTACTAGTGAGCAGAAACAGAACTAATGCTTTTCTAAAGAACCAGATTTCTGCCAGTTTCTCGAATACAGAAACATTTCTAAGCAAAACCAAGACGACATTCGGAATCAACTCGTAAAAATATGGCAGATGAGATATGACAGATTATTTTTTCTAACAAAAACATTCTTTCAAAATATTTAACAAGAGTTCACCAAAGGTGATTTTTTCGAAAAGCTGGTTTGTTTTCTTAAATGTGACTTTGTAAGTAAGGCACTTCAACGAAGAAGAGAAGAAAGATTCGATTGCGGTCAAAAAACATGTTGTGGAGACCCGTTAGAAGTTGCAGCGACTGTTTTTTGAGTCTTTTCTTTTAGAAGTAATCAAAAAACAAAAATTTCTGAAGAACAAAGCAAATGTTTACTCTCCTAAATTCGGCGCTGTTATAAGTATCGAAAGCTTTCGTATTGAAAGAGCTCAGCTGAAAAGTGTTGACCCAAAAAAACAATAGAATGAAACCTTTTATGTGCATAATTAGAAGAATACTTACAGAGTTTTCGTGAATGATGTAATTGAATAATCATCTTTTCTATATTAGGTACAAGTCCATCAAGTAATATATATAAATCATCGATAGTTTTTAAAACTAAATCAATGTAACGAAGAGATTTATGAGGTATTAATCTTTTATATAATTCAAGTCCATCAGAAAAATCAATAATAAGTTTGTGTAAAGAATACATTCGTCGTCTACCGAATACTAATCGATTGATTGATGCATCAGGCTTATCATCGATAAATCGACCTAAAGATATAATCAGAGATTGTTTAAAAAAAATGATAGAATTAATTCAATAATAATTAAGATTATTTTAATCTCTGCAAAAATGCTACTATAAAAGAGTTTTCTTCGTCTCGATTCATTGATTTATTTATGAGAAAATTTTGTTCAATGTACTTACTAAAATGTTCATTTGTTTTACAAATAGTCATATGAAAATATTCGATTTGTTTCATATCTAAACAATATTTTTCAATTGTATTAAGATCACTTGAAGAACAATCGATTAATGTAAAGTATCTCAAATGGATAAATATTGATTGGATTATATTTCTACATATATAACTAAAATAACGTTGAATTACACAACTAACATTTTCATTACTCAATATTAATGATTTAGGTCGAAGAGGAGTTTTCAAATGAAAAAATAAATTTGACAAATAAACATATTCATTATTCGTTATTCGATCAATTTTTATCGTTGTGTAGTAATCATAAATAACAGGATGAAGACGCATTTCAGGTGTCGAAGGTGTGTAAAATGAATAGAGAATATGAAATAATGACATATAACGACATATATGAAATATAATTTTATCTGGTAAATCAAGTAAACAAGTTACATTACAACGAACATATTTTATTGATGATGAATCTAATACTAATAAGAATAATAAACAAAATTACAAAAGATCATTTTGGATATTTTAAATATTTACCAACATTGTCAACGACATGTTTCATATCTTTACTCATTTTTATTTCCAATCTTTAAGAACGATCAAGCGTTTATTTTTGCTTCTTTTTCTGAAATTCTATCTATTGACATATGCATCCTTTATATGTGTTATGGACATAAAAAGCTTGTTTGACCGCTTTAGATATATGATAACCTTGATAATATATGGCAATGAATAGAAATATCGAAGACGATTGGTGGAAAATTCATGTGATGAAGAGTTCAACTATTCGAGAAAAATTGACCTGAATAAACGAATTTGTTTTCATTTGATTATTGTTGCTGATCTATCGGATATAGTAAAAGAGAAAAAAAACAAATAGTATGTGCATAATTCCTTAAATGAATTCGCTTTGTTGCATTCGAGGTGTGGGTGGGTCTGGTTCTGGGTTTGGGTTTGGGTCTGTTATTTCTTAGAATCACGCGCAGTATACACCCACATCCACACTCTACTGGAATAATATCAAGAGAATATGTGTGGAAATATCCGAGTGAAAAAAAGGAAAGACAAGAAAAGATATATTTGTATGCCGTACGTGTCAACTTTACGATATAGTAGAAGAGAAAAACGAAGAAAATATCCAACATAAGTGAACCACACTATAACAACGTCATTACTCATTCTCTTGATTGGAAAAAATAAGAAGAGAAAGAGATAAATTTGTATCTAAAGAAGTGAGGGAAGGTTTCTCATACTAATTGCATTGTCTGAATCTACACATAAAGATAAGTGTTACAGATCATTTGACTTCATATCGTTTGTGCTCTTCGTGTTTTTTCGTTCGTGTGTTTCTTGTTCGTATATGTTTTTCTCTTCATGCTGTACTGGTTGTATGGCTTTCTCGTGTGTCTGCTGCTAGCCACTCTCGGTGATGTTTCGACATATGTATACCTTTATAGTAACACTTATTTCACATCTCTTGACGGTGCGGGCAGTCAGTGTTATTCCGACTATTTTTATTGTAGTGGGCGCGTTCGTTCTTCGTTTCTTTTTCTTCTTCGTTGTTGTTGTATTTTCATGTCTTCATTTCTTTCTGTTATCATCCTCTCATCATCCGCCAAATAAACATTTAACAATCGAAACTCGTCTCTTGTTCTACCCCGGAATCGCTGTCAGTTAATAAACAATGAGTTAACATTTTCTATATATTTTTTGAAATTCAATATCTAAAAAGCTGTGCCCTCTCGCACTACTCATACGACTGCGTCTAATTCAAAGACTAGTTTATTGTCGAGAAACCCTTTTCCCTGAAGAACAGAGAGAATCTGAGATTTCTAAAAGAGTTATGTTTCGTTTTTACGCTTGAGTCCAGGCCTTCATAAACAAACGTAAAATCATGCATCTATTATTTTATTCTTAGCTATTCGTCAAGCACCAAGATTTTGATCGTTAATTAATATTCAAAGAAAATCTATTATCTATCAATCAACATCGACTCATATGGCGGACATCGTAACGGGAGCTATGGCTGCGTGAATGAACATTAAAATAACGGTTGTTGGCGCGGGTTTTGAAGCATCTTGTGGTTTCAAAGCACTTACAGGTCTTCTCGCCAGTCCAGCTGTTAAATTCCTTCTCATTGTCTTGGAAATGTCTATTATTATTATGGCTGCGTGTGTCGCTATTTACTACTTGGGTAAATTTATTGGTAATCTCAAGGAGAACGACTAACTTGAAGAGCGGGAGTGACGGTGAAGATGAGAAAAAAAGCGAATTAACAGTAAATAAATAAAGAGAAAGCTACGGAATTAATATGAAAAAAGATGTTTTTTGAATATATATATATATATAATTTTATTATTATTTTTTGTATTTTTTGAATATTCTTCTCTTAAATTATTTAGGAAAAAAGAAATAAATAAGAAATGAACAAAATCAGGCTAATTTGAGTGAGATAAGATAAAGAAAAAAAATTAGCTTGTTATTTTTTTTAGAGTTTTTAGAAAAAAAGAATAAATTTGAACTTTTTTAACTTGATTTTTAAGAAAAAAAAAGAGTCTTTAGTTTTTTTTAAATGAAGAAAAAAGGAAAAAATGAAAGAAAGGGTGGGTGGGGGTGTAATAAACATGTGCACCCACGTCCACATCCACACCCAAAAAAACTGAATTCATATGAAGTGCTCCAAATAAGGGTACTGATTGTAAACATGATATTTCTGCAAATCTCAACAATCAATATCAGAAATAAATTGTGGTTAATTTTTCTTATTATAGCTTTTGCACATTGCGTTACTAAGATGACTTATTTAGTGTACTCGAATAATAATACATGGCCATGTTACCATTTGACAACAGCCGGTCGTAATGGGTCAAAATGGTTGAATATCTTTTTTCGATTTCAATCATGAAAATACCCCATTCTTTACCTCTTTGCTTATTCGTAGAGTTTATACATGAAAAAGATGATTCAAATGTATATAGAGTGCTTTCACACAACTTTTTCCAAATTTAAACCTATTTTTTTCGTGGCAAGATTGAGCTACACGAGACTTGTAGATCTCCACAGCTGGTATAGAAAATCAAAATCGGTTTGAATATCGATGTGATTGTACAAAAATGAAAGACGTATAGCAAAGCCTACACGGATATCAAAAATACCTATCTTCGTCTAGCCACCACACCGGGAAAACTGGTATACTTGGATTTTGCCACGAAAACATAGTTTTAAATATGGAGTCACCAAGTACACAATCACTGTTTGATTCCAAAAATTATACTTTTCATATTCCTGAGGTACAGCAATAAAAAATATGTAAAAACAGATATTTTTTCTTTTTGGCTTCTGGGAGCCGACCGGAAAGGGTTAATATAGAATAATTACTATTACCTAAAGAAACTAATGCTGATGTTATGAAACAAATATGATGATTTTCCTTTTGTAAAGGAATCAAAATAATATAATGTAAATGATGCCCAAATAATAATAACAATACGACGATTCTAGTTTTTTCGAAATAATGAAGGCCTTGCAATGAAGACCATGCTGCTCGCGAAGCAGAATTCTGACAAAATTCAACTTGTAAAACAGAATTCTAAGCAGAATTTTTATTTTGATCATAAGAATAAGTGTATATAATGAAATATATGAGGCGAAATTCTGCTTGGGAGGGAGAATTTTGATACTAAAGATAACATTATATATATGAAGCAAACAAACATATTAAGGCAGTGATAAGAAACAGCAAAATTCTTGAATTGTGCTTGTGAGAATATTGACACTGCTGATGTAGATCTGATTCTCGACAGTGCTGTCCAGAAAAAGAGCCGCTGGCTTAGTTGATTTTCACCTTATTGTTTCAATATTTATGAAAATTATGAAAAGAAAAAAAACATCAATCTCTTCAAAATACATCTAACTGCTCCACAGAATGAAACGAGTGCTGTGTATCAAATCACTATGTAGGCGCTCGCATGTCTAGTAATTCATAGTAATCGGATGCAAATGGTTGCTGTGCATGACGACTAATGAGAAAAATGAACGTTTTTTAGCTTCTTCTTCCTATAGATTACTATTGTTTCTATGCTTTTCTACCACATTGTCTACCATGCGCGCATTGCTCCATACCATTGACTATCAAAAATAAATTTTTATGTAAAACTGTCGAGCGAGAATGGCGCCTTTTCCCTTGGGATCGAAATGTATCAATCACTAAATCTACTCGATAGAATCAGACAGCTGGTATTTAATATTTAAATTATGCGAACTTTGAACTGAGTTAGACGCCCAGATTCATCACTCTCAGCCGTGCACTGATTGATTACGATGACTAACGACAAATGTTTATTGAAGCCATTTTCGATCATATCTCTTTGCAAACAGTCGTTCATGACAACAAGCTGTTCTTCTTCAGTGGAACAGAATTTCTACGATTGCAATTCAGCTAAGTTATCCTAGCAATAAATATGTCCATAAAAATAACGATCATGCTTGATCATGAGTAACATCATTGAACTTTTCCGATACTTCTCATCGTTCTTGAAGAAATTCTAAAGCAGGATTATTTTTCATGTTTATTTAGTTTTATCATTTCTCTGTAATTTCTGCTTAGATTTCAAAGCAGAACAACCCATGTAACAGTTTTCCAATAGACTATTGATTGACTCTATCAGAAGTGGTTTTTTATATGTTTTTCGAAGATAGGTTTTTGCACCGTTGTTTCTAATGCTTTTGATATTTCTCGGAAAAAATTCAAATCCAGGAATTTCTTAATGCTGTTTTATTTGCTTGAGTCCTAAGTTATATCTGTTCAGTGTTACAACAGAATTCAATATGTAGAAGTTTTGAGATGCGTTTTAACAAATGCGCAGATCAAGAGTGAGTCTCTAATAGTTGTTCTAAAGTGGATATAAGTTGTTTTTTATGCTCTCAATATTTTGCAAGGGAGTCGAAAATAGGATGTGGGTGGGTGTGTTTCAAATAAAACGTCACGGTCACAGCCATTGTCACACTCACCCACACACGATGACATAAACTAAATTCGATTATTTTATGTTTAATTGAAGTCAGCTTGGAACCGACTAATGATAGAGTAAAGTTAACAAGTTGAGACAACCCGGTTGTTTAAATGAAAAAAATATGGTTTTCTGCTTGATTCTTAGAGTTGTGATAAGGAAGAACTACACTTAGCTCTTGATCCATAATACTGTTTGATAAATATCTTTGCCTATAAACAAAAAATAGTTTTATTGATGAACAAAGTTGAGTCCCTGAAAGCTTTTCTGACATTGGCACAATGGAAGATCGAGAATGCTCTGGAAGACCATTCAAAATTACGGAAGAAAAAAATTGATGACGGTTATTACGTTCACGAGAATGAACTACTATCAACTGTTGGAACTGTCACAACAGCTTGCTTCATTGTATGAAACAATTGCACATGGTACAGTTTTCATGAAAGTTATTTAGTCGAAAATCTGTGTGCTGCTAACTTTAGTTGAATGTAATGTTTGACAGTCTGTCAGAACATTCTCGATCCTTTCCAGGATGACTTTCACAGAAGCATTCTAATATAACTGA